TTTTTTTTTTTTTTTTTTTTTTTTTTTTTTGGGTTGAATTGATATGTAGGGGCTTGGGTTTAATGACTGAGAAGAACTTCCTTAGATAATGGTATCTGTTTGTTTTGATTAATTCTAAGGTCTTGTTTGATTAATTCAGTCTTTTGCTTGGGTGCATAAATTGTCCTTTTTCTTTTTTTAATCATGTGAGTGTGCATCTAGATATTTTATTTTTAGAATGTCCACTGATGTTTGGAGGTTTTGGTTTCAGAAACTTAGTGTTTGGTATCAGCTCCCAAATGGCCAGTGGGATACTGGAACGATAAAATCTACCTCAGGGGAGGAATCATATATCTCCCTTGTGAATGGAAATGTAAGTGTTAAATGTTTCATGATCTCTGGAAATTGCATGATTTAATCTTGAGTCCTCCATATTGTGGGCAGTACATACTTATGTTGTTTAATTACTGTAGGTTATTAAAGTTTCCACGGAAGATCTCTTTCCTGCAAATCCACAAATTCTTGAGGGGGTGGATGATCTTTTACAGTTTAGTTTTTTGAATGAACCATCAGTCCTTCACAATCTTAAGTACAGATACACCAGGGATATGATTTATGTAAGCATGACATATACTTGCTTATACTGTTGTGCTTCTTGTTAGGTTCATATCTTGTGTTCTTCCCTTTCCAATTCATGTTTTTCATTTTGTAGAGTAAAGCAGGTCCAGTTTTGATTGCCATCAATCCCTTCAAACACGCCCAACTTTATGGAAATGATTTTGTTACAGCTTATAGGCAGAAAACTACAGATAGCCCTCATGTTTATGCTGTAGCAGATACTGCTTACAATGAGATGATGAGTGGTGAATATTTTCTTTTTCAATCTCTTGTTTTGATTTAGCATAAACAAGTTTAAGTTGCTGGCTATGATGCATAACTTGTTTCTGATGCCTTATCTTTGGCCTAATCACTATTTTGCAGATGGAGTAAACCAATCAATAATCATAAGGTTAGTCCTTTATTATTATTTTAGTCAAATATGCTATAGAGTATGAAATTCTATTGCTTATTGTGTTCCTTTCGTGATGTCATCGTAAATTGGTCCTTTAAGCATATTTCTGATATCTATTATCATTACTGTACTTGTATGGCCACAAGAATAATTTTCAACCCTTATCTTGCAGTGGGGAAAGTGGATCTGGTAAAACTGAGACAGCAAAGTTCACAATGCAGTACTTGGCTGCTCTTGGTGGTGCCGGCGGTGGAATAGAGCATGAAGTCCTTAAGACAAATTGTATACTTGAAGCATTTGGGAATGCTAAAACATCTAGGAATGACAACTCTAGCCGATTTGTGAGTAATTTTTTTCCTGTTTATTTTTTACATTATTCTTTGCTGAAGATACTGTTATTAATGATTTTGATGGACTTAAAATGGGCCAACAGATACTCCTATATGTATAATACATATATGTATAATACATACACACCATATGTCTAATACATACAGACACACACATCTTTATTTTGAAACATTTCCTAATTGATGTTGATTGGAAAATTATCCAATTTCTGGTTTTTCTATCCTAAATTTCACATCCAAGGTAACCTAGAGAAAGCCTTTGATTTATTTACCCTTCATTCATGAATTGGTGCAGGGGAAAGTGATTGAAATTCATTTTAGTTATCTGGGCAAGATATCTGGTGCTAAAATCCAAACATGTAAGTGTTTTTAAATTGAATGAATTTATAGTTACTGTTTGCCATGTTATGATTTATCACAGTAACTGACTTGGTTTGTATGTTAAATGTTGGCTCACCAATGAAATCTCCGGATAGTCTTGCTGGAAAAGGTTATTTCTTGTTCCATTTGAACTTCAGAAAGATTCAATGGTCGTAATTTTGTATCCCTTCTTATTTTTTAAAATTTTTTTTCATTCTTTGATTATTTGTTTCCTGCAGTCAAGAGTAGTTCAGCTGTCCACTAGTGAAAGGTCATTCCATATCTTTTATCAACTTTGTGCAGGTGCTCCGCCATCTCTTAAAGGTATTATTTCATCTTTCAAGAATATTCTTGAGTTCATTCAAGCTTAGTTTGAGTGGTTTTAAGAGCATTGAGCTTAAAGCTATATAACACTGACCAATCCCAGTGCTCTCACATTGCCATTTGTGTGTGTGTTCTTTTCTTGGAATTTTAGATTTCTTTCAAGAAGCAATCATATCATTCTTTATGAAACCTCTATCTCTTAAAGAATTTCCTAATCTGTGCTTTGTTTAGAATACCTTGTAACAGTATTATTTCTTATTCAACACTGGAGGATTAGCCATATTTTGTTTAAGCAGTAGATCTTGCTTTGATAACAACTTGTATTTTTCAATGGCTTAGGCTGAGTTACATTTCCACTTTCTAGTTAGAGGTTGGACTTTTTGGTTTTGAAAAGTTGTCTTAATTTATAAATTAGTGTATTGTTCATTTTTGGTACATCTTTTGATGCAATGGCTCATGTTGGACCATTGAAATTTTATGATTGCTATCTTCCATGTAAAAGTGGTGGAAGAGATTTTCTTACTATATCTTTTTAACTAGATCTGACATGGTTCTTGAATCCAGTATGCCATTCATTCATTTTCTTTCTATTGAGAATTTGTTTCTTATTCTTTGCATCATTCTTTGCAGAGAAATTGGATCTTAGAACAGCTAAGGAGTACTACTATCTTAACCAGAGTGACTGCCTGGTGATTAACGGAGTTGATGATGCTAATAAATTTAATAAGCTTATGGTAATCCAAATATGATGATGTTATGTCTACCATCAGTGTAGTCACCCCTCTTTAAGTTTTTTTTTTTGCCTCCTAGGCTACAGATGACAATAATTTCCTTCTTCTGCAGGAAGCCTTGGATATCATTCAGATTTCCAGAGAACAACAAGAGCATGCATTTGCTATGCTTGCTGCAATATTATGGCTGGGAAACATATCCTTTCAAGCGATCGACAATGAAAATCACGTGGAGGCCTTGGCTGGTGAAGGTAAGAAGGAATATAGACTTTGCATCAAACTTCACAAGTCTCTTACATCTGAAGTAGAACCTATTTCTTTTTATAATTTTCATCATAAGAGAAGCTGTAGATTTTTTTACGTTGATGTTCAGGAATCAAATAATTATATTATTGTGTGGTCTGAATGAATGGTGAATGGAATGGCTGTAATTGACAATACCTGCTAAATTTTAATAAATTTTTGTAATCAGCTAGTCATTATTCATAAGTTGTGTATTAGTGTGTTTAAATAAGAAATTTTCAACTTTTTTGATGTATAAATTTTGTCCTGGTAGGACAATACTGTCTATACTTGTTTAAGACTGAGAAACTGTAATTTTTGAAGATTCTTAAATATGTAAAACCATTCATTGTTACTTGCTGCAGCTGTTTCCAATGCTGCCAAGTTGTTGGGTTGTGGTGTTCATGAGCTGATTGTAGCTTTATCTACCCATAAAATCTGGGCTGGCAAAGATGGTGTTGCTAAAAAATTGACATTGCAACAGGTTTGTTTATTGTTATCAAATTTTTTTTTCCATCATGGAGTGATTCTCTTTGCACCATGATGACATATTGTTGTTGACATAATTTAGGCAATTGACACAAGAGATGCCCTGGCAAAATTCATCTATGCAAGCCTTTTTGATTGGCTGCTGGAACAAATCAACAAGTCACTTGAAGTAGGCAAATGGTGCACTGGCAGATCCATAAGCATCCTTGATATTTTTGGGTTTGAATCATTTAAGGCATGCATGTTTTTTAGTTATCTGCTTGGAGGATTATCTCAGATCAGTTCTTCTCTATCCACAGTGATAAGTTGTTTCTTTTAATTTTCAGAAGAATAGCTTTGAGCAGTTCTGCATAAATTATGCAAATGAGAGGCTGCAGCAACACTTCAACCGACACCTATTGAAGCTTGAGCAAGAGGTGAGCAACTAGAATATGTCTTTGCATTACTTGTGGGAGCATTTTGCTGTGGAACCCTCCTCACCCCCTTCTCCCCCACCTCCCCCACCACCCCCCCCCTCCCAAACTTGCACACAAACACACATGCATGTGCGGACACACAAAAAAGAAAAAAAGTAGTAGGCATAATAGACTGAGTAATTTTGTTTTGCATCCTTTGCATGTTGATATAATTGTTATCCTGGCCAAAGTGGTGCATAGTAATATTGCTGCTACTTTTTCCTTTTAGGAATATGAAGTGGATGGGGTTGATTGGACAAAAGTTGAATTTGAAGACAACCAAGAGTGCTTGGATCTATTTGAGAAGGTAACTCAAAGACTAAATACTTGTTTATCATCAAGGGTTGTTTGGAGTTATTGGACTGTATGGTGGATCCTTAAATCAATATCTTGTGTATGAGCTTACAATTTAGTTTATCATTTTTTAAGTCATGCATTGTCTTGGTAGATGTTTTGATCTAAGTTTGGATGCTAATAATTGGTGAATTTTAGGTTTTTTTTTTTTTTTGTCACATACATGTCTCATGAAACAAAAATATATTGCATTTATGTTCAATCTATTATGGTTGTTTTCGCAGAGACCTCTAGGGCTACTATCTTTATTAGATGAGGAATCAAATTTTCCCAAGGCAACTGATTTGACCTTTGCCAATAAGCTTAAGCAGCACTTGAATGCCAATCCTTGCTTCAAAGGTGATAGAGGCAGGGCATTTGGTGTCCGACATTATGCTGGAGAGGTTAGTGTGCATCTTTTGAGGTCTCTTTTAAAAACAAAAAATTTAAATTTCTACATTAATAAACCTTTTTATTTTAAATGGCAAACTTTAGAGGAAGGACCAAACTTCTAGATACTGTATGGACATTATATAAATATCCTTGCCTATTATATCTATTTTTGGATTCTGCAAGGGGATTTGCTTTTAACAAAATATTGATGAGATATCTGAAAAGGGGTTATTTTAAGGGCCCATCAATCACATGACACGCCTTGCTTGGACTCGCTATGATGTTCAAATTTTTACCAATTTCTCCTAATGTGGTTAAATTACAGATGGGACTTTGAAGAACACATCTGACATAATTACTTTCAATTTGATTTTCATAATGACTAGAGTTGATGCTAATGCCCTTTTCCTAAAATTTGAGTTTGATTGTCCTTACTCATTATATAAGAATTTCATGCTTATATAAATACTTTAATTTTTTTTTGCTTATTTATTAAATAGATGTTTTAATCTAAAGATGCTGCAAAGTGTTACATAGAAACCACTGTATGCAGAATTTTCAAGCTTGGTAAAGTTATCACAAGTTATAACACTGTAGCATCAATTAAGAAAAATCTGATATCTGAAAATTTTGAGGTCCTGTTTGGTTTAGCTGTTAGGGAACAGCAGATAGCTGATTGGCAATATCTAATGGTTGATAGTTGTTGTTATCTATATTATATATAATTCAAACACCCTAATTCGTCTGATTAGAGAACCCAGCTGAATTTTTTTGGCCAGCTTGCTGAAATTGTTGATGTTTGGAGTTGTATTAGGTTCTCTATGACACAAATGGTTTTCTGGAAAAGAACCGAGATCCACTGCACTTTGAGTTGGTTCAACTCCTGTCATCCTCTCATTGTCAGTTACCACAATTGTTTGCCTCCAAAATGCTTAACCAATCATCAAAACCAGCAAGTCCATTGAATGTTCCAAAACAAAGTGTTGGCACGAAATTCAAGGTAAATATCTTTGGTTTCTTGTAATTTTTAAACATGAATACTTGTAAAATTAAAGGTAATTAATTGTGTCTTTTCATTAATCACCTATAGTTGGACCAGTTTCTAATGGCAGATAAGATATTTTAAATATCTAAGAGATAAGAATGGAAGCATTACAAAGATCGTATCATATTCCAGAAAGTTTTAAGTTAGTTCTTGCCTGCTTGCAGGGTCAACTCTTCAAACTAATGCACCAGTTGGAGAATACTTCACCCCACTTCATTCGGTGCATAAAACCAAATGCCAGGCAGCTCCCTTGCAAGTATGAAGATGATCTTGTCTTACAACAGCTCAGATGTTGTGGAGTGCTGGAGGTTGTTAGAATCTCAAGATGTGGATATCCTAGTCGAATAACACATCAAGAATTTGCAGAAAGGTAAGGAGGGACTTCTTTAGTTCTCTGATGCTCATTCTTTCTCTTCTTCTCTTTATTAACTAGTTATCCATCAAACTTCTGTCCTCTTGTGTGTTTATTAGGTATGGATTCCTACTTTCGGAAACCAATGTAGCGCAAGATCCACTAAGCATAGCAGTTGCTGTTCTGCAACAATTTAATATCCTACCTGAAATGTATCAAGTTGGCTATACCAAGCTATATCTTCGAACTGGGCAGGTGATTTTCTATTTTCTTTTGAGAGTTTTAAACCCTCATCATACTTGCAATGCAAACCTTGAGCTAAAAATGGAATTAAAGAGGTTAGTGGTATTCTGTCATGCTAATGAGATATCATCAGTCATGACCCCTTCCAAGAATGAATATTGTTCACCAGACAATTGCTCCCAATCAACTTAACTCATGGTCCTGCCCTGCCCAATTAATCATTATAATGCACCTAGGTTGGCGAAAAAAAGATGTACCTAGATTTGGTCCAATCAATGACACTTTCTGTGCTTCCTTGTGGATTTCTCTGATGCTGCTGTTTCCTGGTTCCACAGATTGGTGCTTTGGAGGATAAGAGAAAACAAGTTTTGCAGGGCATAACTGGGGTCCAGAAATACTTTCGCGGTCAGCAGGCTCACTGTCATTTCCATGAACTCAAAGAAGGAGTAATAAGGATGCAATCATGTACTGTGAACTTCTTTTTGCTCCTCTCTTTCTTCATTAAAAATTTAGTGAGAAGGATACAACCATATATAATGAACTTCTCTTCAAGGATACAAAAAAAAAAAATAAAAAAATAAAAAAATCGTTTCCCCTTTTTTTTGATTTAAGTTACATTTATAATGCAGTTATCCGTGGTGAAAATATCAGAAGGAAGTATGCTATTGGGACAAAGAGGCAGAGAGCTACTGCACCTCAATTACTCGATGAGCAGCTGATGGCAGTCACATATTTACAATCTGGTAAAGTCCAGTCATCTGTTAGCATAGTTTGTGGCCGTTATTGTTTACAATTTTTTTCAATCTTTATTTATCTTCTGCAGTGATCCGTGGGTGGTTGGCTCGGAGGCATTTCAATGACATGCGTAATTTGAAACAGTTAAATGTTGAAAGTGTAAATTCTAAGAGAAAGGCAGGCAGGAGAATTTCAGAAGTGCTGGTATTCTCTTTGGTTGACTTGCTAAGCTGCAAACACAACTATGTTTTGTTTTGTCTTGGTTGCAATCAATCATGCATGTGTGTTTATCAAAAGGGTTGGAATAGTTGTTTGTCACTACTTTCAGGTACAAAGTATTGAATTTTTGCCTGTCCTATTTCTTCATGGGGATGGAAGATGGGTGAGATGGGCTGTCTTCCACTTGGCAGAAAAGAAATCCCTCCTCAGACACACCTCCCCTTTTTCTGAAGAGGGACAGTCAGCTTTTCTCTCTATCTCAAGAGAGAAAGATATATGAGTTGGGATAAGTTCATAACTAAGAGGCAAACAACATCCTGATAGGGAGCCTGATTATCACTTGCTAAAAACAACATTTGTTGATTTCCAGTGTGGTAAAACATTTTTATAAGCCATTATGGTGCTAGTAATCATGGAAGCATTTTTGTGTTCTAGGACATAAATGTATGATCTTGTTTTTCACAAATACATCTGCCTTTAACCTTTTGAGAAACTGTGAGCTTAAAATGATAACTCTCTTGCCGTGTAGGATCTACCACAGGAGCAGAAGATTCAGGTTTTACCTTCTGTTTGGGCTGAGCTTCAGAGGCGAGTTATCAAGGCAGAGGGATCTCTGGGACAAAAGGAAGAGGAAAATAATGCATTACGTCAGCAATTACAACAGTATGAGACAAGGTGGTTGGAGTACGATGTGAAGATGAAGTCGATGGAGGGCATGTGGCAAAAGCAAATGTCATCGCTGCAGGTGAGTTTCATGAATTTTATGCATAAACATAGTTATGAGATGTTAATATGCAAGTAATTGTTGTTGACCAATAAAAGGAGTGCATTTGTCCTTTTAATGTGCGCCCTCCACCATCTAGAGTAATATCATGTGAAGCTAAATAAAAATGCTATTAGGCATGTGGAGGATTAACATAGATGTGTCATAATTCATTGTTGTGCTTGCAGTTACACTACAGGCAGTTTCAGTGTGAGAATTGCACCTCTGAGTATGTAATTACTAACATAGCTGACTATTCTATTGTAATTTTACTGCAGGTGAGCCTTACTGCTGCCAGAAAGAGCCTCAGTGCTGACCTTACTTCTGGTCAACCAGGAAGAACTGATGGTTATGCTTCACCTTATGATTCTGAGGGGGCAACATCCTTGGAATCTCGAACTCCTGGTGGCAGTACCCCAATTAAAGTTGCAAGTAATGTTCCTGATGCTCTGCCAGATAGAGAGACCAATGGCAGTTTGGCTGCAGTAAGCAATCTGGCAAAGGAATTTGACCAGCAGAGACAAGCTTTCGAACGTGATGCCAAACCTTTCACAGAGGGCAAAACTGTGCAGCAATCTTCTCATACAAATTCTAAGGAAGAACTTCGGAGTTTAAAACTCAAGTTCGAGGCTTGGAAGAAAGATTACAAGACAAGATTAAGGGAGGCAAAGGCAAGGCTTCATAAACTCAGGCATTCAGAAGGTCATCGGAAATGGTGGGGGAAGTTAAGAACAAGAGTATCATAGTGTCTACATTAATCAAAGATCGTGATATTTTTAGGCCAATGAAGATTCAATCACCCAAGGAATTCAGGGGAAATATTGTTGCCCAAATGTTGTCTGTTCCCGTTCTCTGATGCTGTGGCAACAATGATGGGACGTTCCAGAGTACTAGGACAGTGAGCGGAAAGATTGTCTCAACCAACATTTTGGTTGGACTTTGGGACAATGGGACGATTGATCATGTGCATAGAATTTCTTAAGACGTGGAGCTATGTTTTTCTCCACTGAATAGTTTAGCTTAGCTTAGCTTAGCCTAGCTTGTTTGTGAATATGCTGTTCTCGATGAACGTAATCAAGCTTTGTAGTATTATCCATACAAATTGGAAAGCAAATGCTCATATGCCTTGGCCTATGTTAGTAATACAATTATCTTTTGAGGGAAAAGGAAAAATTGCCCCTATTCTGCCTTTAGAATCACTTTGTTCGGTAAGAAAACTGTTCAGATTATTAAAAATTGGACAATTTGTTCTATTATTATTGTTCCAGCTACTTAAAACTCATTAGAAATACCAATTTAATGTTATGGAAGCAGAACTGCTACCAAAATCACAAGTTGTTGGATCTCAGAGATAACATCATTGAAATTTCTCCACTCTGCTAACTGCAACAGCTAGGACCATTTACACATCAATTAATGGATTTCAGTCTAATACAATAAAGAGATTTAAGAGGTGGATTTATGATCCAGGCACAAACTTGGTGGCATAGACCCAAGCATTGTTGGCAACAGGGTTGTCGAGGTGGTCCAGGAGGTTCTCCAAGGGACCCTTTCCTGTGACAATAGCTTGGACAAAGAATCCAAACATGGAGAACATGGCTAGCCGGCCGTTCTTGATCTCTTTCACCTTGAGCTCAGCAAATGTAACAGGATCATCGGCAAGGCCAAGAGGGTCGAAGTATTGGCCACCAGGGTACAGGTCATTTCCCTCTCCCACTCCAGGAAGGCCATTAATCCGGAAACCTTCAACCAGCCCCATGAGGATGACTTGACAGCCCAGGACTGCTAAAATGCTTTGAGCATGAACAAGATTGGGGTTGCCCAGGTAGTCCAAGCCACCTTCTGAGAAGATTTGAGCACCAGCCTTGAACCAGACTGGTTCTTTGAAGTCCACCTTAACCCACTTCTCCAAGACTTCTGGGGTGATGCAACCTAGTGCTCCAAGCATTGCCCATCTCCCATGGATCACCTACATGTTTTTGAATCAGAGCATTATTATGAAAATCTATGCTGCTTGAATCATTTGAAACATTGTTATTTCTAAGAATTTGGAATATAAGAAAAAGAGATGAAGAAGAAAATACCTCAAGAGCCCTGTTCCTTGCAAAGGCCTCAGGATCTGCTGATAGTCCAGCAGTGTCCCATCCATAGTCTCCTGGAAATTCTCCAGTTAGGTATGATGGAGTCTGTGCTGAAAAGGGTCCCAAGTACTTGACTCTGTCTGGTCCATACCACAATTCATTTTTCTACACATTACATACAAATTACAAACAAGAACAACACAAAAAATCAAACGTCAATGTAAATTTCACATTTTTCCTAAACGAAATGCAAATAAACAGAATCAGAAACCTACCATTGTAAATCTCCCAGTGCCCATGGCAACAACATCCCTAAGAGGGTTTGCATTTGATCCCCTACTTTGTCCTAGAAATGGGGTTGGCCTAAGAACACTGCTGGAGGAGCTAACCATTGATGCCATTGGTAATTATCTCTTCACTTGACTTCCAAAAGAGGTGATAAATTGCAATTTGCAAGCCTAGAAGTGTGTAGAAAGAAGGGAAAGGAGAGTTCATACATTTATATTTATCATAAAATGAAAGAAAATCAAAAGATGGGTGGTGAGGAAGGGAAAAGTGCCAAAGTGGGGAACTGTGTTGAAAAATAAACCAATCAAATGGCTCCAAACTCCAAAGGATTTAAAGTATCTCCAACTCCATATCCTTCTATCCATCCATACATATTATCTTGTCTGGACAAACAGCGTTCTTTGTGAAAAGAAATAAAAGAAGAATGCGGTGAGCGTGGATCGAACACGCGACCTTCAGATCTTCAGTCTGACGCTCTCCCAACTGAGCTATCCCCGCTGATTGGGAGACGAAAGTTTTAATTCATTATTTATAAAAGGGCGAACCCCCAATTTTCGACCACACTTTTTTTATGCGATCAACTCCAAAATTAATTTTGGTCCAGTTAATACTCTCCATTATTTAAAATTCGTGAAAATTTTCAAATTACCAGTAAAATTATAATGTAAATAGGGGATTTAACAACCAAATTAAAGTGTAAATAAAGAGTTTTAATAGTTAATTTTTAAGTTTTTTATGAATTTTGAATAATAAAAGGTGTTAAACAGGAGAAAAATTAATTTAGGGTGTTGATTGCATAAAGAAAAAAAATGTGTGGGGGAGGGGGGAGGTGCAAATAGAAGTTCACGCCTTTATAAAAAACAATTTGCCCTTCGTCGAAGAAGGTGAGCGCCCCGTGACGCTACCAAAGTTTCCTTTCTCTCCAACATTTTAAAAATTCCCAACGGTCGGAAATTTTGATGGCCGCGCATAATTAATCCTAATCAAAATTGCTAAATTCACCAATCCATCCGAACCGTCAATTTTCATCAATCCAACGGTTAAAATTCGACCATCCTAGGTCCCGGTGACCGTACAGTCCAACGGTGACGTTTTGCGCTCCACTCTCTTGCTTCTTTCTTTTCCATCAAAGGAGGAAATTCAGAGAAACCCAAATGGAGGAGTATCTCCTTACAGATGAAACCCTAGTTCATTGATTTCGCGTATCTCACGATTCTTCACATCGAAGAAAGTTCATAATGGCTCTCAAGAACAGGAAAGATCACTGGGCGTTTCTGGTAATACCCATCATTCCCTTTTCAAGTTTTTTTTTTTCCTGGGTTTTATTGACTTTCTTTAGTTTGATTTTGTTTTCTCAGCTCTTGTTTTGGATCGATCAATAGTGTCTGCGTTTTTCTTGTATTATGAATTGGTTCTTGACTGGAAATTTTGGGATTAGGTTTCTTGACGAAATATACGTTTATTCTCCTGAATTTATGTTTCATCTGAACGTACTTTTATTGTTTTCCCAGTTTTAGGGAATTCTATTGGGTTTTAATTACTTAGTGTCACAAAATCTTAATTCTTGAATTTCTGGTTATGAGTTGGGGATTGGATATATTGTTTACGGTGTTGATGATCTCCGATCATCGTTCTATATGGCTGTATATGATGTTGGCTATCCTTTATTAGTTGAATCAACATGTCTATGTTGCTTTCTGAGAAACATGTCTACGTTGATGATCTCCAATCATCGTTCTAAATGTTTGTTAATGATGTTGCCTTCTTAGATGGATACCCTTTTATTTTTGGTAAAAAATTAGTAATTGGTGATTGATTTATAGGACGAAATTGAAGCACCGATTTGGGTAGACCTTGTTGCAGAGGCTAAGCTCAATGGCAATGGCATGTGAGTTCTGGTGCTGCTTGTTATGACTTATGAATGTCATATGTAATTGGATATTCGTGTTTTCCTTTGAAATGCTTGTAATGAAGTTATTATCTCTTTTATCAACTAATTTGTTGTCTTGGTGTGGTACAGTGATGATGAGTGGTTCCACAAGAGGCATCCGTAAGTCCTTATCAGCTTTTTCAAAAGCTGTGAAGTTATACTTAAATGAAATGAAAATGCCCATCAAATGGTAATGAATTAATTGATTTTTTCAGGTTCCACCAGTGTTCTTCTCGTGAGTTAAAATCTGTCTTTTCTCGTTTTGGTGAGGAGGGTTTTACCACTGAGTCAGACTTGCTGGGAGAATCTTCACCAGCACTTCCACCATCAGTCTCAAGATCGAGGGGAAAGGATTACAGGAGCAACAACTGGAGAGGGGATTATGGTGATGGTTCATTGAATAAACAACAGCCAGTCCAAGTTAAAGGGAAGTCTTCAGGTGTGTTTTCAGGAGCTGCTGAGCAGATAAAACCTAAATTGAGCTTTGTAAATTTGAAAGGAACTTCCAGTTCAACAACAAGTTTAGTTCCTCAAATTACTAGAAATGTTAAAGGAAAACAGGTGAAACTTGTATCTCCCTGTGTGGATTCAGCAAGTATCTCAAGTCCGTTTGCAGAGAAGCCTGGTGAAAGCAATACAGGAAGCACAGTTACATCTGAGAACATTCCAAAACAGCAGCAAACATCTTTTGAGATATCAAGTCGACCAATTGGTCAAACAAGTGATCTTTTATCATCAGTGCGGATCAGTCTTAGGAGAAGTCATGTTACAAGACAAGCATCAAGGGTTGAGATTAATGCTGATAGGAGGGGTTCTAGAGAGCATAAGTCTTCATCCAGCAAGTCAAGTGTTGGTTCCTCTTCATACCCTGCTTGTGATGGTAAGAGCACAACTGTTGCATCAGTAAAGAATAAAGAACAAACCCCAGATAGCAGAAATGTGGCAAGGATAAGTGAAGCTGCAAAGAATAGGGAGAGAGTTTCTAAGATGTATTCTAAGATGTATAATACACCTGGTGTTCAAGTTAAGGGAGGGACCACTGTTCTGAAACCAACCTGCAGGGAAACTTCAATATCAAAGGTGAGAAAGTCATATATTTTGAGACATCCATGTTCATGTGAGAGTGTCCAATACATGTTTGGCTATTGTATATTTGTTTGGTATGGAAAATGACTATCATATTATTTGAGAAAATGGTATTTATTGAGGCAAATGCTTAGCTTTCTTTCACTCCAATTTTAACAAAGGATAAAGATAAAAGTTGGCCAGGTTGAATGAATTGGCATAAATTGAAATTTCCTTCGATTTATTTCTTGGAGCTCACACCAAAATCCTAGTACCATGCCATGATCAACAGCTGACAATTGTTTCGCAGGTCCATCATACTCTTCAGTCTAAAGCTTTATCATATAGAGTTAACAAGCAAAATTCCATTGCTAATGGTTCTACAAAGGCTAATGGAAAAGTAGGAACCAACAAGCTCAACAAAGGGACGACTGTCGGAAAAGAAAATGCAATAGGGAGAATTTCCGTGAGTCAGGAATGCAACAGTAAAGCCAATGCTGCTGGAGGCATGGATGGAGGTCGTAAAGGGAAAAAACCTTGTGCACCTTGGAAGGGTGGTGGCACAGGATTGGTTGTTTCAAAGGTACTTAATTTTTCAATAATATATGAATATGATTTCATCTTAGTGGTTTATTCATCTTTAGGATATGGAAAAGGTGAAAAACTTCCTAAGAATATCAGATAATCAATATGATTTCCAATATTTTCTGTGTAACTGGATTTTCAGCCTGCAGTTAGTCTGTGTTATCATTCAAAGATTTTCCTCCTCGTAAAACTCTTATACTGCCTTGGGATGAGAAATTATTGCTTACCTGTAGCCAAAGCCAAAGCCAAAGCCAAAGCCAGAGCTTCCCCAATTCCTTGGTTTACATAGGTTTAGACATTTTAGGCATTTGACTGACATGCTGTAGTTTGATTATTTTCACGAAGCTCATGTGCCTTACTAATATGTTAAATGCAATAAAGGGATGTGAATATTGCCTTTACCTAAAACTTCTAACTTGAATCATTTCTATGTAACAGCTAATTGAGATGTCTTTACTTTCTATTTGCAACAGGGAAAAGTTGGACATTTGAAGGAAGGGAAGAAGTTAACTAATGTTGTTCATATGCGATGAGGTAGTGGTGCAAAAAAGGGAGAAAGAGAAACAAAAAAATGGAAAAAGAAAATTTGAAAGAAAAGTTTGTATATGATATAGCATCTAAAAGCAAGCATGATTTGGAAATGGGGCAGCAAAAGATTTGACACTGCATTGTCTCACATTTTTGCAGTAAATTTGGTTATTGTCTGTTCCTCTTCTCTGGTCGTGATCTGCCTCTTATATTCAATTTATAGGTGTTAATTTTTCACACATTTTTTGTGAAGTAACAAAATGCATGGAGTCTTTGCTCATATAAAACTTTTTTACAAAAATTCTAGGAGTTTTTGATATAGATGTTTAGAAGGAATAAAAGGTATTTGGTATAATATTTTGTTCTCTCAAATTGTTAAATCCTTTTTTGTATTAATCCTTTGGTGCTGATTAATTTGGACATCAAGCGGTGAGAAATTCTTTCTATTCATAAAACTTGAAGTTGAGATCTTATTTAAAATAAAAAAATTAAATATTTTTTATTTGGATCAACAAATTGTTGATTCAAATGGTTAAATTTTGAATTGTTAACAAATTGAAAAAGTTAATTATCAGCCAAACTCAAAGTAATTCGAATATCTATATATTTTTCTCTTAATATTTTATATATAAACAAAATTCCAATAGTTACTTTTTGTTGAGGTGCAAGGTTAGATGCTAATCATTTTTTTTTTTTGATTTGTTTAGCAAGGGTATTTGGTAACTTATCAAAAATTTTATTATTTAAATTATCATTAAATCTTTGTTATTATATTATAATAACGAGTTTAAAAAAATCATTACAAAAAAACTCGATTGGATACCAAAATGTTAACTATGCGACCTTAAGTTTGTCAATAACTTTATTTCGTAAAACCCTTTCTAAATAAACAGTTATATCGAATTCTAAAAACATACTTTTGATTAAAGGAGTAAAATTATACGGATTTCCTCCCTAACCCTAACTCTTTGATAGCTACAAAAGTAAGAGAAAAAGTAAAACATTGGGTTTGGGCCAACCCCAATTAAGTATATAGATGTTAGTAGGACCCAGTCCAGCCCAATCCTGGCCCTGTCAAATCATGAACCGGCATGGGCACATACTCTTCTCCGACTCCGGGTCAACCCACCCGACTCAGTTAGCAGGTCCTGGCATTTCTTCCATGGCGAATGCGGCGCGACGTCCCATTTTCATCGGCTTTCCTCTTTAAAATTCCGCGCCACCAAAATGGAATCTCACTCAACTCTCGACTTCCGTTTCCTCTAATTCATACGCCTGAGAAGGTAACCTCCTTCCCCATGCTCTCGCCAGCTTCGACCGTTTGCTAACGCTTCACCATCTGTTTGGCTGCCGAGAAAATGCGTCCACATATGAGCTTTTAGTTCCCATCGCTTCTTTTTCCTTTCTTATTGTTTCTCTGCAACCAAACAGCTGTGATGTTTGTATACTTCGCACCATATTTCTCGTTAATTTTTGTTATTTTTTGAGATTTTCTGGTTTTAATTTATTTTGCTAGTTTACTTATTTATTTATTTTAATTTTCAGCAGGTAAAAAAAAAAAA